CTATCACTACACGCCCTTGTCAAAAGTCCTTCCCCAGCTTTCTTGTAGGCCCCCTTTAAGTCCTGGAAGGCTGCAATAAGATCACCCCGGAGCCTTCTCTTCTCCAGGCTGAACAGCCCCAACTCTCTCAGCCTGTCTCCATAGCAGAGGTGCTCCAGCCCTCGGATCATCTTCATGGCCCTCCTCTGGACTCACTTCAGCAGCTCCATGTCCTTCTTATGTAGGTGGCCTCAGAGCTGAACACAGCACTGCAGGGGGGTCTCATGAGAGCAGAGCAGAGGGGCAGAATCCCCTCCCTTGACCTGCTGCCCACACTGCGTTGGATGCAGCCCAGGACACAGTTGGCTTTCTGGGCTGCCAGCGCACGGTGCCGGCTCATGTTGAGCTTCTCATCCACCAGCACTCCCAAGTCCTTTTCCTCAGGGCTGCTCTCAATCCATTCTCCGCCCAGCCTGTCCTTGTGCTTGGGATTGCCCCGACCCACGTGCAGGACCTTGCCCTTGGCCTTGTTGAACTTCATGAGGTTCTCACAGACCCACCTCTCCAACCTGTCCAGGTCCCTCTGGATGGCATCCCTTCCCTCCAGCGTGTCCACCACACCACCCAGGTTGGTGTCACAGCAGACTTGCTGAGGGTGCACTCGATCCCACTGTCCCACCTGTTGATGCTCCCCAGCGTTGCTCAGATTTCTGTTCTTGCAGCCTTTGAGCAGTTACATCTCCCTGGCTGACAGGGCACTGCCTCTCCGTGGGTGACTAGAGGGGCTGCTGTCACGGAGGGGAAGGTTCTTGCTCCGCGCTGGGGGCTGCGCGTGCCGTCTTCCGGCACTGGGAGCCTGGACATGGGAGCACTTGTTCACGGTGAGGTCACCTGTTTCCGTGCGGATCGGGATCAGGTGTAGGAGCCGGGTCTGCAGCCTGGTGTCAAGGCGAGGAGCTGTGGTAAACTGGCTCATCGTAGTTCATCGGTTTAGGTCTGGCAGGTGTTTGGGCAGAGACCCTTTGGCACTGTGTGTGCTCAGCAGCAGAATTCCACTGCCGAGTAAACTTCCACCCTTTGAAAGCCCTAAAAAACGCCCTTTAGCTCCGATGAAACATGTGACTCCCAACATCCACGTTGGCATTCACACCTCCCCGTGGATGTGCCTCGGTAATTGGCTCGTGGACCTCACACAACGCAAGCAGAGTATTTGTTGGCAGCTCCCTTTGTCCAGTTTTCTTTTAATCCCTTCACATTTATTCAAATGTGTGGGGTTTTTTTTCCTGAGCAGTTTATTTTCTGGGCAGTTACTAATATCCTTTGGTGATCTTGGGTTTTAACCAACACTTTTGTGTAGTGCCGTGTTCTTTCACGTGCTCCTTTTCAGACAGCACTTCCATGGGGTGCTCGTTCATCCTATCTTTGTTTTGCTTTGGAGAAGAAAAAGTGATTTTTTTTCTACGACCAGAAGTGTCTGGATTTAACAGTTGATCCTGTCTCAGAGGGAGCCAAATGAAATCCCGATTTCTGCTTCTGCAGCGTTTGCTGGAAGGACATGGAGCTACTGGAACAAGTCCAGAGGAGGCCACGAAGATGATCCGAGGGCTGGAGCACCTCTGCTATGAAGACAGGCTGAGAGAGTTGGGGCTGTTCAGCCTGGAGAAGAGAAGGCTCCGGGGTGATCTTATTGCAGCCTTCCAGTACCTAAAGGGGCTACAGGAAAGCTGGAGAGGGACTTTTTGCAAGGGCGTGTAGTGACAGGACAAGGGACAATGGCTTTAAACTGAAAGAGGGGAGATTTAGGTTGGATATAAGAAAGAAATTCTTTACATTGAGGGTGGTGAGGCACTGGACCAGGTTGCCCAGAGAAGTTGTGGATGCCCCATCCCTGGAAGTGTTCAAGGCCAGGTTGGATGAGGCTTTGGGCAACCTGGTGTAGTGGAGGGTGTCCCTGCCCATGGCAGGGGGGTTGGAACTAGATGATAAAATGATAAATGATAAAATTCCGTGCAGTATTACTTGTTCCCTGTGTGATGACAGTCACGTTTGAGTTTGTTCTCGTTTTCTTTTCTCTCTGCAGAGCCATGTCAGATTGAAGTGCGGTTGCTGCTGGCTTACAATTCCAACAGGAGCAAGGCATCTGCTAAAATTCCTAAATCTACCTGGAGCGAGAGCTTGGAGGCTCTCCCTCAACCTGAAAGCGGCATAGAGGGGACCATACCCTTCAGCAAACCCGTCAAAGTTTATATAATGCCCAAACCTGCCAGACGGTGAACTCTGTCACTAAAAGAAACATATTTTTGGGATTATTGAGCTACATGGAAACAATATTCTGTGTTTCAGGATAGTGAACCAAACCAAAACCAGTTTTGTACTTGCATAAAAAAAAAGTCAACCGTAGAAATAAAGCTGCTGAAGAACAACTGGTCTCCTCTGTGAAGAAGCAGATGGATGGATAGAGGAGTTATTCAGCTAATTAAGAGTAGTTCCAGGAAAATGCAGGTGTTTCTGTATTGAATCACCAAAATCAGGACAGTCAGCATTCCAGTAGTAACTCCATGGGGCCATCTCTTCAGTTTTTCCTTCTCACACGTTTCTCTTCAAGGCCTGGAGGTTTTCTGCCGTGTATTTACTGTGTAAATGCTCTGGCACGTACAGCAATGCCATTTTCACAGTATTCTGAAAGGAAGCTGAGGAGTTCGGGGGTTTTGTGGGGGTTTGTTGGGTCAGGTTGTTTTTTTTTTTAATGTCTAAAACTTGCGTTTGTGCATTGGTACCTAAACTCGTAGTAAAAAAAAAAAAAATAGTTCTGAGTATTGTTCATGTTCAGGGGAACCTGCTGGCGCCAGCAGCAGAACTCCAGTCAGCAGGACGTGGAGTTTCCCCGAGTTGCAGCAACAAACCAGTATGTTACTTTTGTTCGTTTACATAAAATAGTCAAACAAATCAATATTCTGCTAATCAAAGGCTTTTTGATCAGCTGAAGGAGCTGAGCACGTTCTCAGTTAAGCAGCAGGCAGCTTGTCAGTGTTCCCCTAAGTGGGTGAGCTGGGAGTAGGGAGGGACAGGAACTTAGTAAAGCCATGATCCTTCTGGCATTGCTGTTGGAAAGTGTGTCAGTGGACTGAGGAACCTCCTGCAAATCTTTCAGTAGGATTTTTCTAGGAGCATTTGACGTGTGAAAGTTTGTCGTGCAGCAGGCAAATGTTACCCGCGTTCACAAATCGATTGTATTAAAAAAATAAGTGTACAGAGATGAGCGGAAATAATTACGCAAAACCCCTTTTGTGCTTTCCTACAATAAAATTGGAAAACTCGTGCTGATCTGTTTCCTCTCTCTTATGTGAGTGAGCATGGGGGCCTGGGCTAATAAGAGATTACTGCAAGTTTTTGATTATTGTGATTTTTTAGCACTGACACCTTGTGGTCCAAAGACGTAACCATAAAACTGTCCAGCTGCTTTAGGCATTCTTGAATTAAATGTTTTCTTAGTGCTGCTGCTCTTACAAACTGGTTTTTGGCATTTCATCTTCCAGGCACTGGTCTGAAAACCTCCTGCGCATGTACCAGTGGAGTTGTGATCATCTGACTCCGCTCTGGCACCAGTTCAGTTCCCAGCGGACAGGGCTGGATGTACATCTCGTTACGAAGCCCAGGCAGATACTTGATGAGTTGAACCAGCTCCTTACAGGCTTCCTCGTCCGCCTCCCCTCAATTTTACCCTTCGCCAGTATTCCTGCAGTTTGTCATCCCAGTAAAGACTTCCAATTCCAATGGTGTCCGTATGCTGCAGGCCACGAGTGATGCTTTGGTAGGCAGAGCAGAGACCAGGGGCCGGGGGAACGGTGGTTCAGCCCTGAGTGCCACCCTTCTCTGCCAGCCCAGAGCAATATTGATGCACAGCGGAGCTTTTGTGCCCCTGCCAGGCTCCAGGTAAACCCTCCTGGGCCTGGCATTAACCAGTTGTCTGCCATAAACTTTGCCTTTCCTCAGGGTACTTTGGCTGCTCCGTGGTTATCCGTGTATGAGTTCGGATTTATCATTTGTTCCCAGGTCACAGACGACCAAACAGCAGCTCCATTACGGACATAATTATTTTTTTTTATTTTATTTTCAGTATCAAAATGTTGGCATCTTTCTTTTTCTGAGCACTGGAACCAGTTACTATTTTGCTCCCCTCGTGCTGTGCTTGAGCTCCTTTCATGTAACATACGAAGCAAAGATCACCCACCTTCTGTCTCACCACCAAGAATCAAATACTGACGGGCTAGAGACAAGTTCTTCATCTGTAATTTCAAGATGCCTAAAACCACCTGAAAATTTAAGACCGCCACGAATATTTCCAGTCTCCTAAGGAGAGTATTCCATAGTTGGCTTCTCTTGATATCGTCCTGTTGTTTTTTCTCTGATTCCTAGTTTGAATCATAGAATCACAGAATGGTTTGGGTTGGAAGGGACCTCAAAGATCATCCAGTTCCAACCCCCCTGCCATGGGCAGGGACAGCCTCCACTACACCAGGTTGCCCAAAGCCTCATCCAACCTGGCCTTGAACACTTCCAGGGATGGGGCAGCCACAGCTTCTCTGGGCAACCTGTGCCAGTGCCTCACCACCCTCTGAGTGAAAAATTTCTTCCTTATATCCAATCTAAATCTGCCCTCTTTCAGTTTACATCCATTGCCCCTTGCCCTGTCACTACACGCCCTTGTAAAACATCCCTTATATATTTTTTTAACTGCTTACCTTCATCTCCCAATTTATTTTTGCTTACTTTCTCTTTTTTGCATTTTTGCACTGTGTTCCAACATCTGGGAAATCTGAAAGGAAATTTTTATAAAAGGTAAGCATTTGAAGATTTTGTTGTAGTTGTTTAAGTCTAGATACTGGCTTTTTCCTCCCACCGCCAGGTTTGAGACATTCGGGCTTTTCTGCTCTCAAAACTGACAGAGTTCACGACTTTGTGTCACCTCAGAAGCACCTCTGCCCATTCACTGGTTGTCCTTTCATTTTGGGTAAAAGCGTTGGACTTCTGCCCTGCGATATCCTGGAGAAAAGGAGGCTGAAGGGAGACCTGATCGCGCTCTACCACTACCTGAAAGGAGGTTGTAGTGAGGTGGGGCTTGGTCTCTTCTCCCAAGTCACAAGTGATAGGAGAAGAAGAAATGGCCTCAAGTTCTGCCAGGGGAGGTTTAGATTGGATATTAGGAAAAATTTCTTCACCAAAAGTGTTGTCAAGCATTGGAAAAGGCTGCCCAGGGAAGTGGTGGAGTCACCATCCCTCGAGGGATTTAAAAGACGTGTAGATGTGGCGCTTGGGGCCATGGTTTAGTGGTGGACCTGGCAGTGTCAGGTTAATGGTTGGACTGGCAGCTCTTCAAGGTCTTTTCCACACTAAACGATTCTATGATTGTATCCCAAAAGATGATTGATCCCAGCATGAAAAGAAAAACAAAGGGCTGTTCTCATGCACAAAGGCAATTTGCATCTTTTATCTGTTGAAGAGGGAACAGAGGACTTGAGATCACAATCACCCAAGCATCTGGAACTGAAGATTCTGTTCTCTCAGATGTTTGCAAGTGTAGGAACACGGCGCCAGTACAGAACTGGAGCCACGGGGACATGAAGCAACCCAGCAGCAAGGGCAAATAATCTGCTAAAACCTAACCAACTGTGTTAAAACAGCCCTTGCCACCCCATTCTGCCTCCTAGACATGAGGGTGGAGGGGCAAGAATCTGGCAAAGGGAGGAAAAAACTGAACTCACATGAGATGAAAAGGTGGTGGTGTGTTTACTGGGTGTTTTTTTTTTTTTTCCCAGATTTAATTATACATGGCATCTGGGGGGGGGGGCGGTGTGAGCCTAGCTCTGAGTGCTTTCAATGGGAAATTCCTAATCAGCTTGCAGAAGGCCATTGAAATTCATCAGGCCAATCCGTAGAACTTTGCAAGTAAATAATGCCATTATCAAGCCAAGAACTCTTAAAACAATGCAAAAATGTAACCGGAGCAAAGTTGGTATTAACCCAAACCTGGTGTGGCTTTCATGGATCTTAGTTTTAAAAGTGCAGCAAAAACTTCAGTGGGCGGGTGCAGCCACTGCAAAAAGTACAAAGCAAGTTCCTGGGAAGCCGAAAGAACAGGGCACGCATTTAAATCAGGACCATATGACATCATCTTCGGTTCCAGCTCAGAGATGGGTTTCCTCTGGATTCCTGTCTTGCTTGTCCCAGTTCTCAAATTTTTTGAGCAAGTCAGAGACACAAAGGCTGTTCCATGTCCCTTAAAGCCGCCAGCTGCATTCCCTGTGTCCGTGAGCCTTTAGACGGCCCGTTTCTCCTGGCTGCCAGCTCGTGCCCGCTGCTTGGCGAGGATAAGGGGGACCAACCTGCTCGGCAGCACCGGAGCAGCCGGGGTGGGATCTTCCTGGCAGCCGGCCCAGCTGCAGCTCTGCTGCAATGGGGGTGTCAGGGTGGGAGTCCATTGCCTAGTGGGAAATGGTTTTCCTGGTGGGAGGTGGAGAAGGGGTGTATGGGAGAAATCCTGCCCGATAAAAGTGCGTTCCCGCGATCCGGGCAATGAGCCCGTCGTTTTAACGGACGACTGACGGCTCTAGCTGAACAAAGACACCGTTTTGAGCTCTGCTTGAATATTTTGATGAATCAGTCCCAGCTGTTTCCACCACGTAGCAAAGCAATTTCAGGCACTGAGAAGGAAATTGGGCTTTCAGTGACTGGAGCAGCTGCTTTCCTAGGAACTGACAAAGCTGACTTGGGAAGCTGTGATGGAGCAGTAAAGGAAGAGAAGCTAGGGATGGAAAAGATTCCCAGCAGATTATCTCCTCCTGACACTGACATTTTCTACTGATGGTGGCGAGACTTTGCAGTTTGCCTTTAAAAAAGGGAAATCCATTTCTTTGCAGGCAGCAATTCCCGTTTCAGAAGTGGAACCTTCTGGATCCTACCCATTGCCAAATGAAAGGAACGATCCAGAGGCTGCAGCACAAAGCTGGGTAGGGCACAACCTCTGAAAGTCACCTGGCAGTGCCAAAGGGGCTGTGCCCCTCCCGTGCCTTTTGGGAGGCCAAAGCCTGGAGCACCAGTGGGGAGGAGCCCGCAGTATTTTTCTCAAATGCGGGACCTGGGCTGAGCAGTTTTGGTGAACGTGGCTTCATTGTTAACGATACACCACATTAATACAAAATATTTTTTTTTTTAAAAAGTAGGAAAAGAAAGATAATGTGTTTGCTCAGCTTCTAACAGTGTAACGTGCAGCAGGACTTAAGAAACTGGAATTGTCCTCTCAGTATGTCCTTACGAAGTCTCTTCCTATTTAAGGCTGCCTCAAGGCCAAAAATGAAATAATGCAATTATCTGGCTGTGATCAGATGAGTCATAGAATCATGGAACGGTTGGGGTTGGAAGGGACCTCAAAGATCATCTAGTTCCACCCCCCCTGCCATGGGCAGGGAAACCCTCCACTACACCAGGTTGCCCAAAGCCTCATCCAACCTGGCCTTGAACACTTCCAGGGATGGGGCAGCCGCAGCTTCTCTGGGCAACCTGTGCCAGTGCCTCACCACCCTCAGAGGGAAGAATTTCTTCCTTATATGCAATCTAAATCCGCCGCCCCCTCTTTCAGTTTAAATCCATTGCCCCTTGTCCTGTCACTACACACCCTTGTAAAACCACCTCTGCTATAAGACAGGAACAGTTTAATGCAAAAAGTCTCCACACTCTGCAGATTGGTAGGAACTGGGATGATGACAGCATTATACTGGCTGCTGTGTCAGAGAACACAGAGGCAGCTCTTGCTGGTTTAGATAAGATGTTGCCTCAAATAGGGCTCCACTAACAGAAAATATTGCTGCAATTAGGAGATTGCAAGATAACACTTTCAAGTACTCACTTTCCCTTTGCTTTTCCACCGCGTTGTACTTTCTCAGAGAAAAGGTTTGAAGCAATTACCAGAGCAAATAAACAGAAAGAGAGCAGAGTATTTTGTGAAGGGCTGTTGCTGGGCCTTGGCAAAGCCGTGGCATTCCCATATTGCTCTAAGCCTCTCTGCCACCTCACTGCGTGGCTGGTTCCGAGCGCCGCAGGGCACGTCTAGTGGCATCTTTGTGAGAAGCAGTGAGCCTGGTGGAAGAGAAAAGAAATCTACAGCAGGTGAACATACAACTGACAGCATTCACAGAAGCCCACCAGGAACAGTAACGACAAGAGCTTTCCAAATCCTCAGCGTAATAATACGCTTGTTGGCACAATGTTTAAATGACCAGATAACGAATGACAAGCAGGAGGAATTCTCTCATCCCTCCTCAGCTTGCCAGCAGCAATCAAGACTGATTTCCTAAAGATCGATGGTTTTGTGCCCCAAACTCTAGTTTGGTGACAAATCCTTCCGATGATTTTAAACACGCAGGGACTTTGGAACAGACACGTATTGCACAACTCGGTCCCCACAATTCACAATTAACAGGAAAATTCTTTAAGGCCCAGATTTTATCTTTATTCCCTGTAGATATTTTTTTTCCTTTTTCCAGGTTCAGTGTAAAATTTACAAGTGCTAAATTATGTGAATCATCACAAACAGATCTGCATAGTCAATACCCTGACTGAAGCCACCAGCAGGAGGCAAAGTTGTACGCTCTGGGCTCGCTCTGTAATTTATTTTATTTTTAACTTATTTATAAAGTGCTTCTTTACCACCACTTTGTGTCTACCACTTGGTTGTACTCATCAGATATTTCACAGCTGTATTCAGATAGCCAATAATGTAATTTTGGGCCGTTTCCTAAGAAAAGTACTCAAAACCTACTATCTTAATTTAGCCAACACGTGAAAAGTTAAGTAACCAGAACACGGACAGTCTTCAGAGGCAGATTAGGTCCATCTCAAGAATGTACGGAAATGGTTCTGTAATTAACCTATCTAATTAGCAGCCCTTTTTTGTGAGCACCCTGTTTAAATCCTGAACTAACAAACTGTCCTCGTGTTTTCCATCGCCGGTGCACAAATGCTTTGGCACGTGAAGTCCGCGTTCCGTTGACTAATTCCATTCGGCGCAGAGCTGCGTCCGCGGTTTGGCTGCGGTCAAGGAAGGCGGAATGAGCTGGAAGGCTTCAGCAGGTTGAATGGAAGACTCCCCCCACTTTGACACCCTGAGCAGCCAGGGCGTTGTACTCTTCCACAGCCTTCTCCGTTTGCAACACCAGCACGTCAATCCCGTTTTTCCTCACGTAGTCCACGGTAGATGATGGAACCTCAGAAGACAAAAGGAAATGGGAAGAACAAGTGTGAGATTCTTCTCCCCCCCGTGCTATAAAGGTTGAGGAAAAACAGGCACTGAGGTCGTTTGTTAGTAGATGCATTCAAGTAGCTGGTAATACTCAGATTTTTCTAAGATTGACATAATTTTTTTTTTTCCTCTTCAATAAAGCTACTCGCTAACAGACACCTCCCATCTCCCCTTAACACGGTTCAAAACGCAGCCCTTTCTTAGAAAAATAAATAGAACTGCAGCTAAAGGTAATTAATCCAAATAAGGTGTCACTCACTTTACTGAAAAGCTAAGGAACTGCTGCTCACGCCGTAAAGCTCAGCACTTCTGAGCTTTCCACAGGTGGTTTATCCGCTGAAACGACACCCTGCCACCATTAGTGACAAAAATGCTTAATTATCCAAGTGTTTACAGCAGGCTGGAGAGCTAGTTCATAACTCACTTTAAGAGAGGGGGACAAACGACGCTGTAAAAAACTCTCCTTGTTTAAATCGCTCCTGTGGAACACAAACCTGTTCACTGCTTGACACTGACACTGACACAGAAGAGCTCAGATGATGTTTTGGGCAGAGAGTGGCTCCTGGCAGGAGCTCAGTCATGCTAATTCAGCATCCTGAATTTTTTTCCCCTCTTAGTAAAGCATCTTAGATTTTTCTCCCCCACCTTAATGAACAAACAGTTCTGTTTTACGTTCCTCACGGAACAAAGACCTACCTGCAAAGCCTCACTCATGCCACGACCGATCACCAGAGTTCTAACACCCTTCTGGACAACTTCTTCAAGGTCAGCTGGCTGCACTCCTGGAGAATGCTAAGTGGCAGGGAAGGAAAGGAACAGTCTGTGTTCTGACAGCACCAACCAGGAAAGCTTCATCTCCACGTTGTGAAACGTTCACAGAGCAGCAGGGTAAATCAGCAGTACCAAAACGTAGCACGACCCTCCTTTCTGCACAGGTAACACTGGTCCTTAAAAAGGTGTTTCATGTGCAGGTGAAGGAGGGCAGCTAATCAATCGATGGCAATATCGTAATTCTTTATAAAACAGTTAAAAATCATAGAATCACAGAATGGTT